AGGGATCAGGTATGACGAGGGGTCAGGTGTGAGGAGAGGTGTGAGGGGGGTCAGGTGTGAGGAGGGGTGTGTACAGGAGTCAGATATATGGAGGGGTGTGTACAGAGGTCAGGTGTCAGAAGGGGCCCCAGTCGTCGTCTGGGTGTGGTGAGGCTGATGATGGCATTGTCAACGGGGTGCTCAGTGACTGTTTCTACAGATGACCGGCACCCGGCCTGCTTTGGGGTCAGTGGGTATATCACAAGATAGGTGATTGACCGTTTATGACCTGGTTTAGTAGTCAAGAAGGCCAGTGGCCAGGGTCGGCCTGCCTCTTGTGGTGGGTAGAGAGGAAGCAGGCAGCCCCTTGCCCTAAAAGGTATCCCAGCTCCCCATCCGTCTGCGCAGTGGGTGTTCGTGTCCCCACCCTGCAGCCCCTCAGTGAGCTGGGCAGGAGTTTTAGTTAACATGCCAGCTGCTCGATGCCCGACCTGTACACACCCTGTGTGTGCACACACGTACACAGCACACACCCCCTGCATACACAGACCGCTCACACCACACACACACATGTACACGCATACACACACCGCTCACACCATACACTCACACATATACACACCACACACCCCCTGCATACACATACAGCTCACACCACACACATGTCCATGCATATATACACCATGTGCACACACTGTACACGTGCAAATGGCACACACATTGCGTATACACTCAAGTCATACACACAAACCAAATGCACACATACACACACACCACATACACACTACATGTACGTACACACTGCTCACATGTGCACACACACTGCAGACACCTAACACTCACAAATCCACACACCATGCATGTACCCACCATGGGCACGAACAACATGTACACATCAGGCACACACATATGTGTGCATAAACACCTCCTAACCTCACACCCTCCCCACCTCACACCCTCCCTACCTCACACCCCTCACCTCACAGCCCTCACCTCACACCCTCCCCACCTTACACCCTCCCCACCTCACACCCTCCCCACCTCACACCCTCCCCACCTCACACCCCTCACCTCACACCCCTCACCTCACACCCTCC